AGATTAATGAATTTATTAGAAGTTGTCAGACTTTGTTGTTACTGTTGTTGAACCTGAACATCATTTTTTCATAAAAGTGCAACAACATCTTTTTCTTCTTTTCCGCCTTCAGTCTCAGTCTCCTTTCAACTTTCTCACCTCTGATGAAGCTCGCAGGCTTTTCCATTAAAAACACATTAGGTTATGTAACGCCCTCGCAGGCTGCCGTGACCTTTTCCGTGTAAAATCAAACCTCTTTCCAGAAACAATGTCGCTGCTAACTGGATGATACGCAGACCTCGCTGTGAACACTTACACAGAGTCGCTCATAGAAACCCTCCAAACATCCAAACACCGCCTCCGTGAACAGGTGCCGACTGCGGCTCCGTTTGAATCCAGTGTTTTGTGTGTGATTTGGGTGAACTGAGCCTTTAGCTGTGCTCGCTGCTCACTGGCAACACGGGTTTGGTAATTATTTATATTCGACTCTCCGGCTCAGTGTTTGAGCAGCGGTTGCCGTGGAGACGCCGTGACGATGGCAGCGATGGAGTTTGGACGGTGAATTAAAATCGATGACGTGTCGCCGCTCGCAAACATGCAAACATGGTCCGACTTCCTGCTACTGATCTGATTCCTCTCGCTGGTCGGATTCTGTTCAGCAGAAAGCAGTGGTGCTGATCGGTGTTGTTTTTAAGTTGTCCGCTGAAGTATTTACAGTCACTCCGGAGTCCAGAATAGAAGCAGCTTTCCTCCCCCTGGTCCCGTCATTGTCCTAAAATTAGCCCCAATAAGCTCCGTGTTATCTGCTCAGACTACCACCAATTGTGAAAATGTGTTTTGGTATTTCCTCCGCGTGTGAACTCTTACGTAAGGACGTGAGGAGAAAACATATTTCCGTCTATATCTGGCCTCTGCTGATAATACCTCCGCCTGGAAATAAGTCACAAACACATCCTCAGCTGTCCGTCACGCCGCCGCAAAGAAATCTTATCAACTTTGCAAAGGCCGGATTGCTTTTTTTTTGAGTGTGTGTGTGTGTGTGTGTGTTTTCTTTGGGCGGACACCTGATGCCATTACCCAGCCAACTATAACATCATTAACTTGTCCGTCTCTAATAGGCTTAGAGCCGCCACAGGAACGGGATTAGAGCGGCAGGGTCGGTTTCACCGGGCCGCAGCTGGGAGTCAAAGCAGGACAGCAGCAGGAGCTATTCAGCTCACATCGCCGCGTTCCCTGATAGATGTCTGGATCCCACTCACGGCCATCCGTCACACTTACAGAGACGTACGCCGTCCTCGCCCGGCCAGAGGACATCGCTTACCCCGGCGTAGATTGAGGCGTTACGATTTCCTCCTCGCTGTGAATGATGCCGAAGTGGAACGTCGTCGTCGTCGTCGTCGTCGTCGTCGTCGTCGTCGTCGTCGTTGTTCTGCTGCAGAAAGAGAGAAAAAATGAGCTCGGTGTCGTCGGGGAGTTATGTGCCGGAGGTCAGCGCAGAGTCAGACCTTCAGGTGTTAGATTGGAGCTTGAAGAGCTGGAATCGACTTTGGGAGGCGACATCAGTCAAGTCACGGTGTTTC